AATACCTTGGTTTATTTGTCTAGCTCTTGTTATATGAATGTGATTACTATGCAGGTCACTATTTATTCAACGGAATCACTCAGTAAGAGAATTCTGATTTGTTTTACGATTTCTGCTAAGGATCAACATGTACTGATGCCGTAGCATTTCATTTTCGCTCTTGAAGGTATCACAAAAGCAAGAGCACTAATTGGAACACGACTAACCCTCAACTCCCTCTCATGAGTATTTGGAAATATAATAACTGTGTAAAACAAGCAGCCTTGGAGATGAGAGGCTAGTTTGGAAGTTGTTCTGGTAGTTCCTACAAGATACACTGGTTATCTAGACAAAGCAGAGTGGAGAGAAATAAATGTGTTTGAGGTAGTGCTCAAGTTTAGCCCTTGACTGACTGGGAATCGCAGCGAGGAAGCATAAGAAATGAAGGTGAGTTTCTTTAGGTGATCTGCCGTATGGAGTGTAATTTTTGGGGTGGACAAAGCACAGGGACTTATTTAAGGACCTGGAAAGTGTCGATGCATTCAAATAAACCTGAGGATAACAGTGAATGGTTTGACATAGATGGATGTGAAGAGAGATTTATCCTACCAGGTAGCAAAATTGATTTTAAGGTTTGGTGATCAAAACTGTGCAATGCCAGAGATAGAACAGAATGACATACAAATTAATTCCAAAGTTCAGAAACAGATTTGACTTTAGGTAAGCATATGGTAGATATCTTTTGTTGTGGGAATTCTATTTCTAAAGCGCAGAGCATATAAACAAGTTGTATAAATAAGAGATTTTTTTAAGAGCAAAACATTAAATTTCAATATGATAGAACTTACTAAATTATGTATATGAGAAGCTAATGTTAATTTATCATTTGAACATAATCAGATGCATTTGGCATAGGTCATATCTCGATAAATCCATCGCAAGTTAAAAATAGTCTAAGCTCAAAGTCCATTTACTTCACCTATCTTGTAGGCATCCCAGGTTAGCAATAAAATATATTGTAGTGCATCACTTAGTTACTCCTTTGATCACGTGTTTCACTGGGACCTGTGATTTCCTGCCACCGAGGACTGTCAGAAGGGAGTGTTCCACTACCTATCACTAGCCTAAGATAGGATGAAACTCAAAATTTTGAGTATCATCCCTATGAATATAGGTATGTTGCTCTTGCATAACATGGAGTCAGAAACTTATGTCAAACATCATAAGTCAAAGACAAAAACTTGAAAATAGTTCACAAGACATTGTTAGACGTAAACTATGGTTTATAAAATGTATATATGATTTATGTTATATACGATTTATAGAAAGTTAGATACAGCAGCTGGTGCTCATTATCTTAGCACATGGGAGACTGAGGCAGGAGACTGAAAAGTTTGAGGCCAGCCTGGGCTACACAGTAAGATACTGTTGAAAATATTTGAAGGTTAAAATAATTATGGATGCAGGAATACTCGAAACAGAAAACAGGGCTGCCTCTTCAGTCAATTGTGGTGGAAAATCTGATGGCCTCACAGAAGAATTATCTTAGATTTGTATCTCACCCTAGCTGCAAAAATTAACTTGAAATGGACTTAAGACACAAAACCTGAAGCTGCAAAGCGACTAGCAGAAAACAGAATTAAAATCTCCGTATTTGTCCAGGCAAATAACTTTTTATCTAAGCACAAAATAACGAAAGCAAAGTAAAGAGCGAATCACATCAGCTCAATAGTTTTCTTACAGCAAAGGGGACAGCGAATTGCTAAGGCGACCTATGAAGTACGATAAGGTATTTGTAAACCATGCATCATAGAATTTATATCATCATATAGGGCACTCAGCTCCATAGTTGGAAACAATTTACCCTTTACAATGGACCTGGATAGCTGTTCCTTAAAGAAGTTATGTAAGATGATCAGTGGGTTTAAAGAATGCCTCTGCCTAATAACCAGAAAATGCACATCCAAGCTACAGTGAGCTCTCGTAGCTGTTAGAACGACTAATATGAAAAAGATAAATTTGCTAGTTTGGGGAGGATATGGAGAAAATGAAAGCTGTGAACACCACTGGATGGGAGCTCAGTTGATGTGGCCATTCTGGAAAACTGTAGGGAGTTTCTAAAAGCATTAAAATGTATTGATAACGATCCATTCCACTACTGGGCATCTTTCGAAAGGATGTGGAATCAGTGTGTTGGGATGTTACAATGCACTCCCAAGTTTACGGTAGCGCTATTCACAGACGTCAAGGTTTGGCATCAGTCTGTGTGCCAACAAATGGAGAAAGTAAATTAGCCCATCCTTAGTAGTTAAACCTCCAGGCCATTTAAAAATCCTAATCATGTTTCATCAACAGTGACATGGCAACTTTACCAAACCCTTGAATTGTTCTGATAAATTTAATGTAGAGTTTTAGCTGGAGACTTTATCTATTTTATTTTCAAAGTTGAAAATTCTTCTTCTTCTTCTTCTTCTTCTTCTTCTTCTTCTTCTTCTTCTTCTTCTTCTTCTTCTTCTTCTTCTTCTTCTTCTTCTTCTTCTTCTCCTTCTCCTTCTCCTTCTCCTTCTCCTTCTCCTTCTCCTTCTCCTCCTTCTCCTCCTTCTCCTCCTCCTCCTCCTCCTCATTATTACTACTATTATTATTATTATTACTATCCCATACTTGCTCCAACATTTGTTGTTCCCTATTCTGTTGATACTTGCCTTTCCAACTCAGATAAGATTGGAGACTCTTTGATTAGACTTTATTTGATTTTATTGTAATCTCAGTTTTCTCTTCTTCCTGCCTTTCTTCTTCCCTTCCTCCCTCCCTCCCCTCCCTTTCTTCCTTCCTTCCTTCTCTCCTCTCTTTGGCTCCTTCCTCCCTCCCTTCCTTAGGTTCTTTCTTTCATTCTCCTTTCTTTCACTGTGTTACTCAGGCTGCTGCCCTCAAACTCAAAATATCCCTGCCTCAGCTTCATGCGTAGCCAGGATGGCTTGTGTACGCCACAGCTTCTCGGCTTTGAAAAGCAATGAAGTAAGCAATAACAAACTAACAAAAAGGCAGACTCCTTTAGATGGCAGTAGTTTTATCTGTTTAAAGGACAAGAGACTGTCCAACTGATGCACAGGGCGTATTCAACTCCTGCCGCATGGCAGGGTGGGCAGCAGATTCTGGATACAGGGTGGTGCCGACGATAAAGTACACGGAGGACAGAACAGTCTTCCGGTAAAACCGTGAAATGTGCTTCACCCATTCTCTTATCCCCAGAGAACTAGCTGGAGATTTTCAGCAGTGGGGAGTCTATTCTGTTGCTTTCCAGTTCCATTTGTTGGCTTACTTTATCAGTGTGTGTTTATTTTATAAAACAAGTCATAGCTTTAATTCAGAAATTTATTTGGAGTATTGACCCAAGTTTTCTCTTCTTATCTTCTAAACATTAGTCTTTTCTTCTTTCAATTTTTTGCCTTTCAAGAGCTTTGCCCTTCCCTCCACTTTGCGAGACTGCACTTGAGGGAGAGCCTTTCAGACACGTTGAGAAACGCGTTCTATAGCTGCACAGCTTCTCTGGGCCGAACACTGCGGCTCCTTTCATCATTTTTCCTCTAACATGGGGTTTTAAAGCAAATACCCTCTTGATTGCTTCCTCTGGATGCGTTCTACTTTGTCACCCTTTGTTGTTAAAAATAAATTACTCCCAATTTCCTGCTTTCAATAGAGTAGAGAGAACATAATTGACTCTTTGATGTGTGAGGGTCTGGTGTGGTCTGAAAGCAATTACCCTGACCTTGAATTCCACTTACTGTAAATATCATTATAGAGAAAGTAGGAGCTCGTACTAAGTCTGTATCAACCACGGAATAGATCTTGGAAGATTTTCTGAAAATGAGTTTATTTTCTTGTTATTTGTTTCCCAGTTATGAAGTGTACTTTATAAAGTAACAAATAGGAAAGAAATACAGTGTTGTTCATTCTGAAATCCATCATGCAGGTAATTTGTCTTCTCAAGTAGACTATGAACTCCCTGAGAGCTAGGACTGTGTCCTACCAATTAGGACAGGCTTAATATAGCCTCTCTCTCTCTCTCTCTCTCTCTCTCTCTCTCTCTCTCTCTCTGTCTGTCTCTCTCTCTCTCACACACACACACACGGAAGGCACACACACAGAAGGGGCAATAATTATTGGTAACTAGTTAATTCATCATTCATAAGAAATTGAGATGTTAAACACAATTAATTGAATTATGTTTTTTAGAATATATTGAGGAATTAATAACATAAAATATGAATAATCTGGATATAAATTTTATCCTAACCTTAAAACGTATTAGCCATAGTGGATTAGTTATATAGTTGACAGTGTTTACATAGAAAAATGTTACTGTGATGGATGGGATACTTACAATTCTAAGCATAGACTCAAACAGCAATGACTTACAATATAAGGAGGCTGATATTTACTTACAAAGCCCGAAGAAGCTTTTTTCTAGGTCTGTTCTAGCAACTCAATGATGTCATAAGGGTACCAGGCACTTGTATCTTCATGTTGCAGCTTCTGGGTTTTTATCATTTTGTTCTTGAGTTTGCATTATAGTAAAACACAAAGTCTTCCCTTCCCCTGGAGAGGAGCCTAGGTGTAGGAGCTCCCTCACAGTCTTCTCTGGGGGAAAACTATCCCTTCAGAAGCCTTTCCCAGAATTCTGCGGTGTCTAACTGGCCAAAGGTGGATTCTATGGCTATCTCTAGGAGGCAGGCAAGGAGGAGGGCCTGGGAAATCTGTTTACTTTGTGACTAGGAAGGTATACATAACAGAGGAAGATCAAGACTGTTGCTGACTAATGGAAACTCAGGCTTACCAAATGACAAGAACTCTTTCAAGCTACGAGTAATAACATGTGGTTATAGGACCTTTTCAAATAGACAGAGCATCAGTTCTTAGCCAACTTGGCAACAGCTGGTGGACCCAACTACCCTTTCTGATTTCTATAAATCAGACAAGGCTGTGTTTTTATTAAAAAGCTTTTCATTGCCTCTCCTTTTCAGGAGTCTTATCCCAAGAAGAGGAATTACACCATGGAAATCGTACCATCGGCCACTCTGGACACATTTCCTTCAGAAAATGAGAACTTTCTTTGTGATCTCATGGACACAGCTGTTACAAAGAAACCTTGCTCCCTAGAAATCGCAAGGGCACCTTCTCCGAGAGCTGGTAATTTTTCCTACTCACCATTGGCCAATTTGATTTGCATACTCACATAACTGAAGCCGCATCATTAATATTTTTATGTCATACTATATTATCAACATAAAAGTGTCCCAGGGTAGTCCCAGTGATCAGTTTTGCATTTCAAGTGAGTACAGGTAAGCCGTGGGTTTCGATGTGAAATCTAATGTCAAGGGCTCTTCATGGAGATGGCCCTGCTTTGTTCGACATCATTAGGAACCTTAGTGAGATGTAGTGCTTTGGGTCCTTGGTAGCAGAAGTCTTTATATAGACCTTTTGACATCCTATTTGTTTCTAACTCATCAAATTATATTTGGTTACTAAATTTACCTTACATTTTTATAACTTGGTCTAGTTTAAAGGTTGGGAGTCTTTTCTGGTGGGGGGAGTTACTGAAGATGAAGCATCCAAAGCAAGAACAGGGTGCGTAGGTGCTGCTATTGAAATAGTCTGGGTAAATGCCAACATTCCTTGCCCGGAAATGGAAAGAGGAGAGTGTGCTTATTATTATAGGCAACTCTATTGCATTTCCAAATGGGTTTGTTTCTGCCTAAGATGCAAATTGGGCGAGGCATAGTTCTGCGGCAGAGTGCTTGTCTAGCATGTGCAAGGCTCTTGGTTCGGGCCCCGCTACTTGGCGTGTGCTGGGGGCAATGAATGGAAGAATTATAGAGGGGTTGAAGTAAAATCCAGAAAATCCATTATAGATAATAGACTAGAAGATTTCACAGAGATGAACAAATAGCCTTTGAGACGTGCTAAGGTAGGGAAGGGTACTATGTAAATCATAACCATAAAGGAAGTTAGATTGGGATAAGGTAAAAACATGGTAATAAATGTAGTTAAAAATTATGAGGTACTTACTGTGTGTTCTAAGAGCTTTATGTGTATAACGTCATGTAGCCCTTAGGATGCTGTGAGTTATTAACATTGTCCATCACCTTACACATTAGATGATGTCACAGGAGTGTGTTAATAGGGATGGCTCTGGGCTTTGAGCTTGAGGGGTCCTTCACTGCGTGCTATAATGCTGCATTATGTCAGGAGATGAGAAGAGGTCGGCATTGTGAACGAAGAACAGGGTGTTAAGAAATGTCGACGTCAGATAGTCCTCATGTGACCTTGACAGTCAGAAAAGATGTAAGGGTAAGCAAAGATCAGATGAGCACAGGCTATGGATGAAGGGTGACTAATGAGTGATTGACAAACCACCATAGAGAAGACCAGTGCTCATAGCATGTATAGAAGTGGGTGAGCACCAGAACTTATAAGAGAGGTAGCAGGGACATGGTGGACTTGAGAATGGCCCACTGAGGTAGGAAAATATAGGCAGAATGTGCAAAACTTTAAGGGAGCTCTACCTAGGCATAGGCACAGGGAGAGGTCAAGAGTGACCATAGAGGAAGGAGTGAAAGCCTGGAAGGTGGTTTCCTCCTAGCTATCCATCAAAGGCTAATAGGTTCCCTTGATGGGACAGAAGTATTCTAGAAACTAAGGACCTTGGGATAAAGGAGAGATGCCCCCAGGCACTAAGACTGACTATGCTCTGGTCAGCTCTCTGCCGCAAACAAGGAATTCTGCATAAAAATATAGGGAAGAAAAACTTCTGAACGGCACCAAAAAAAAAAAAAAAACGGACAAAAAAAAAAACGGTCAGAAGATTAAATGGGTTGAACCACATCTGGCTTTGGAGACCCTTCTATCAGCACATTAGGGAGACAGGCCACAAAGCTTCGGCCTGTGTGGTAAGCCCGTGCAGCAGTTAAAGCCGCGTTGGTCCTCAAGAATTTGCTGGACTCACTGTTGAGTAGTGGTGCTTAGAGCAACGGATTCAGACAGAGATCTCCCTGATGGCCCAGTGTGAGCATTCTACTGTGAACACTGTTCTCCTCAGGCTTAGATGTCAAGGTACACCATTAGAGCAATCACAAATGTTGCGGCTTCACACCACCCCGCCCCCAAAGACTTCAAAGTCTTAATTCATCGTGGGTGGAAAAGGGAGAGATTCCTGAGGACTTCATGCTGTAAGACAGCCCCCATACAGGTTAGCACCTCAAATTCATCTCACACAGAAGTTCCGAGAACTGAATTTAGGTTAAAGCAGTTCCGTCAGGAACCAGTCAGAAAAAATTATGACCCTCAGAAAGGAGAGCAGGACACTCTCTTCTTTTTAGGCCCCAAATAATTCCATTAAATAGTTCCCCTATTATGACTGGTGGTTTAAAATAATTAAACCTGAAGAGAAAGGAGCCGCAACCAAGAGCCAACAGAAATAAGGGGAAATATACACACCTGAGAGGACTTCGCCTACTGCAGCTGTCAGATGTAGGGTGTAAAATGACGTAATTCAGGAAAAGGGAAGCTTGGAAAGAAACCACCAGAGTATATCTGAGATGAAAATGGAAACTTCTAGGAATGGCAAAAGATGGTCCACACAACACGTGAGTGGATGGGCAGATGTTATCAGACATCAAATTCAGCGGAAGGAAGTTTTAGTGAATGGGGAAGAGGGGAAGAAGAAAATGTCAGAACATCGTCTAGAAGGGAAGAGGATGGAACAGTAGCATGGCATGGAGTGTCCCTATCAAGAACATCTATCTTACATGTCTGATCAAAGCTGCAGAGTTCTGAAGTAAGATATTAGAGGAAAACCTGCCCCAAAGAGCCCTGCCCTGATAGATGTACGGGAGTTGATAAGTGAACAGTAAAATTTGTTAGATTGTGTAATATGTGAAGATGTAATATTTCATAGATTTCTTTGGAAGTAACCTGAAAGAGCATGCTGGAAGTATAAGGTTCAATTTATGAAGAGAGACTGCCTGCATTGTGTGTCTAATGCTATCTGAACGCCACTAAACTTATATACCGATAGCAGTAATTGATTTTGCTCCTGAATCTGCAAGTCTAGCTGGTTCCATTTTGCGAGGATCCCCTTTCTACCACAGTGTGTCCGTTGCCTTTGCTCACTTAGGGAATTTGGAAAGTCACCTTCATTAATTCATTTTGTTCTCTGGTAGGAGTCCAACCCAGGGCACTGTGCACGCTAGGTGCTCCTAACTGTGCGCTCCATCTCCAGCCTACGGAGGACCATTGACGCTAAAGATGCTGTGATGATGGGGCCTAGCTGGATACCTGGCAAACTGTATATAAACCAGGAGCTTTGTCTTGGCGTGGGGATTGCTTGCTTGCCTTCTGTGACTGGCGTGTTTCTCCTCGTGAAGTACAGACTGGATTCTTAAGATCAGTGTCTCCATTACCAGGGGAAAGTATAGCGCTTTCGTTTTATTACCATATTGCACTCTGGAAATCTGGGATGTCAGCATGACCAGGTTACTGGTGAGGGCGTTCTTTCCGGCTTGTAGAAGGCTGACATTTTACTGTGTGCTTTTGCTTGTTTTTTATGTCTGTGCTGAACGAGCGACTCTTGGATTTTTGTCCCTGATAAGGAACCATCTTTAAGGAAAAGACACCAGAGAAATCAAGACTGTCTTCCCAGCTTCCAGTCACAGTTTCTGTCTTTGAATAGCTGCTTTGGTCCCCAGCTTCTCCTCTTGAGCTTTTTGTCTTTCATTGTCACTTGTTGTTAGGGTCCCCAGCTCCTGCCTCCTGAGAAGTCACAATGTTAAAGCCACAAGTTTTGGAGCACCGCATTTCCAGGTGTCAAAGTCTCCTCTGGTTATTGACTGCCACACAGAACAAACCAACCTTAAGACCTAGTTAACAACAACGGCAACATACACTCATTTATTTTTCTTCTAAAGGTGCACTTCTGAGACGGCTCTGCAGGAGTTTCTTGCTTGCTGTTCCAAGTAATTATGCCAGGGCATCCTGACTAAACACTGTAATAGGATCTGTGTACAAGATCCATTCTTAGGCCAAGTGAAGGGCTCTAACGGGCCAGAGCTTGGCAAACACAGGGCCAGCATGGCAAACATGGCTCTGACGGGTTTTGCCTTTTACCCTTCCCCCCACACACACTGTTAGATTACATCCCCAAAGCTAGCCCCCCAAGGTCTATTCCTTTAATTTGCCACTGACTCATTCCTGAAACAAAACACCAAGGTCCAACAATCAAAATTCATTATTTGATTAATGTGTCCAATCAGGATTTACCAACTCACTCTAGCATAGTCTTCCCCCCTTTCTCCTTAAAAATCCACTCCTGTAAAAAACAAACAAAAAATCCTGCTGGGGCTTGCTTGCTTTCTATTGCTGCTGTCTTTGCAGACCCCCATCCTACCCCAACTCCTATCTGTCTGCCGCCCCAGAGTATTAAATCTCCTTTGTGCTTGGTGTGTCTTGCACTGACTTCGCGGGGGACCCTCTCCCTCACATCAGTTGTGATGGCTCAGACTTATAATCTTAATACTTTCAGGAGGCTGGGGCAGGAAGATCACAGTGAATTTGGCAACACTGTGAGTTTCACGTCAGTCTGGACTAATTTCAAAAAATAAAAAAATAACAAACATCCCATTTTCCATATCTACCATGGCCTGCTTGGATTGCTCATGGTATACGTGGGTAAATGTGAATATAATTCTAAGAACAAACCCCAAGGAAGATCGGCAGAAGCTGCACTCCCTTTTATGGCTTAGGCATCACTTCTCCTGTGGTCAAGACTGCCCGCATTGAAGTAGAGGGAATTTTCTTTCTCTAGCCTTTGCCAAGAGTGCTAACTAAATAGCAGCATAAGAAGTTATTCATCCAGCTGCTTTTGGAAAACAGATTCCTACGACTGTCTGAGCTGCTGTTGTCTTGTTTTACTCCAAGTGGAGCTAGATTGAATTTGCACGGATATACGATTCCCCCTACTGTCGTTGATACTTGGGCTTCTACAGAAATCAGCTTGACCAGTTGAACCAGCCGAATTCCTAAGACCTGTGCTCTGAGCTCTGGGCTGTGTTTATGAATTCTGTCAGTAGGGAGTCGAGAATTAAAATGGAAATTATGTGTTTTTTAAATTATAGGAATAAACATGGATGCAG